GAAGTGAAATTAGGAAGCACTTCTACACAAAAGATGTAGACGTCCAGAACACTCTCAAATAGATGAGCTGGCCATTTGAAATCTGAGATTGACAGTTAAAAGTATTGAGGAATGGGTTTAAGTTAATAGATGAGGCATGATCTTGGTGGATGGTAGAGCAGTCTTTACGGACTGCACAGTTCAGGTTGGGGATGGTGTTTAGGCTTGTATCCTCTAGAGGAATATTGGGAAGGTGTGGCAGGGGCTGCAGAGTGGAGTGGTTGGCCAGGAGAGTGGCCTTGGGTTGTGGGAGGGGATGCCTGGAAGGTTGGACATTCAGATTGCTCTGACCGTTACTCTCTCACTCCACAGTCGCTCGGTGCTACAGGAAATTCTTGACACTGATCTTAGCAATGAGGCTTTCCCCTTCTCGACACACCAGGTTGTGAAGGCAGCTGGACACACAGTGAGTCATTTCTCCTATTCTGCCCACCAGTGGTCAACATTCACTTGTATGTCCAATCTGGTTCAGTGTCTTTTATTTACCACTGTTAAAAAATGGTAAACTTGTGAAACAATCTCATTGAATTGTTTTGTGAAACACATAAAAACCATAAGATATCGGAGCAGAATTAGACCTTTCAGCCCATCAAGTCTGCACCACCATTCGATCATGGCTGATATGCTTCTCAACCTCATTCCCCTGCCTTCGCCCCATAACCTTTGGTCCCTTTACCAATCAAGAGCCTATCTATCTCTATCTCTGTATTAAACACACTCAATGACTTGGCCTCCACAGCCCTTTGCAGCAATGAGTTCCACAGATTCACCACCCTCTGGCTGAAGAAATTCCTCCTTATCTCAGTTCTCAAGGGTCATCCCTTCACTCTGAGGTTGAGCCCTCAGGTCCTGATATCTCTTACTGGTGGAAACATCTTCTCCACATCTATCCTATCCAGGCCTCACAGTATTTTGTATTTTTCAGTCAGATCCCTCTCTAACCTTCTAAACTCCATTGAGTTCAGGCCCAGAGTCCTCAAGTGCTCCTCTTATGACGAACACTTCATCCCCAGGATTATTCTTGTAAACTCCTCTGGACCCCCTCCAAGACCAGCACATCCTTCCTTAACTGCGCAAAACTGCTCACAATATTCCAAATGCAGTCTGACCAGAGCCTTATGCAGAACAGTACATTTCTGCTGTTGTATTCTAGCTGTCTTGAAATAAATGCTAACAGTGCATGTGCTTTCCCAACTGCCAACCTAAAGACTTTTGCATATGAAGTGATAGAAAATTTAACCAGTTTGATAACTTTTGGTAACCGATTGTTCCCTGCAGTGGTGTCAACCTTGTGAAGCTATCAAACAGAACTACTTGCGTGGCAAACAGCATGAGCAGCAAGCAATTGAGCTAAGTGATCCCACACTAATCGATCAGATCTAAGCTCTGCATCCAGTAATGAATGGTGCTGGTGGACAATTAAACTACTCACTAGAGGAGCAGACTCTACAAATATCCCCATCCTCAATGATGGGGGAGCTTAGCACATTGGTGGAAAAGATAAGGTTGAAGCATTCACAGCAATCTTCAGCCAGAAGTGCTGAATGAATGATCCATCTCAGCCTCCTCCAGTGGTCCCCATCATTACAGACACTAGTCTTCAGCCAATTCGATTCACTCCACGTGACATCAAGAGATGGTTGGAGACACTGGATACTGCAAAGGCTATGGGCTCTGACGACACTCCAGAGACTTGTGCTCCAGAACTTGCCACTCTCCTAACCAAACTCTTCTTGTACAGTTACAACATCCACCCGACAATGTGGAAAATTGCCCAGGTATGTCCTGTACACTAAAAAGCAGGACAACTGCAACCTGGTCAGTTACCATCCCTGTCAGTCTACTCTTGGTCATCAGTAAAGTGATGGAAGGTGTCACTAACAGTGCTATCAAGCAGCACCTGCTCAGCAATATCCTGCTTAGTGACGCCCAGTTTGGGTTCCACCAGGACCACTCAGCTCCTAACCTCATTACAGCCTTGATTCAAACATGGACAAAAGAGCTGAATTCCAGAGGTAAGGTGAGAATGACAGCCCTTGATATCAAGGCTGCATTCGACCAAGTGTGGCATCAAGGAGCCTGAGCAAAAGTAGAACTGGGGTAAACTCTCCTGGCACATAGGAAGATGGTTGTGGTTGTTGGAGGTCAGTCACCTCAGCTCCAGGACATCTCTGCAGGAGTTCCTCAGGGTAGTGTCCTAGACCTAACCATCTTCAGCTGCTTCTTCAATTCCTTCCCTTCATCGTATGGTCAGAAGTGGGGATGTTTGCCAATGACTGCATTATGTTCAACATTATTTGTGACTCCTCAGATACTGAAAGAAAACAAGATCTGGACAATATCCAGGCTTGGGATGACAAGTGGCAAGTAACATTCATGCCACACAAATGCCAGGCAATGACCATCTCCAATAGGAGAGAATCTAACTACTGCCCCTTGACATTCAATGGTGTTACCATCACTGAATCCCCAACTATCCATATCCTGGGGGTTACCATTGACTAGAAACTGAATTGGACCAGCCACATACATACTGTGGTTACAAGAGCAGGTCAGTGGTTAGGAATACTGTGGTGAGTAACTCACCTCCTGACTCCTCAAAGCCTGTCCACCATCTACAAGGCACAAGTCAGGAATGTGATGGAATACTCCCCACTTACCTGGATGAGTGCAGCTCCAACATCACTCAAGAAGCTCGACACCATCCAGGACAAAGCAGCCCCCACTTGATTGGAACCACATCCACAAGCATCCACTCCCTCCACCACCGACGCTCAGTAGCAGCAGTGTGTACTATCTACAAGATGCACTGCAGAAATTCACCAAAGATCCTTAGACAGCACCTTCCAAACCCTCAACCACCTCCATCTAGAAGGACAAGGGCAGCAGATACATGGGAACACCACCCCCTGCAAGTTCCCCTCCAAGCCACTCACCATCCTGACTTGGAAATGTATCTCCATTCCTTCACTGTCACTGGGTCAAAATCCTGGAATTCCCTCCCTAAGGGCATTGTGGGTCAACCCACAGCAGGAGGACTGCAGCAGTTCAAAAGATGGCATTAAGGTTTTTGAATAAATGAGGAAAGGCTAGTCATGCTGAGTCTGTATCCTCTGGAGTTTAGAAGAGCCTGAGGTGACTTAATTAAAATAAAGAAGGTTCTGAAGGGATTTGATTCGGTGGATAGCAAAAGGATGTTTCCTCTTGTGGGAGACTCTAGAATGAGTGGGGGGTAGTTTAAAAATAAGAGGGTCACCCATTTAAGACAGAGGTGGGGAAATAGTTTTTCTCTGTGTGTTAAGAATTTTTGGAATTCCCTTCCTCAAAGGCAATGGATGCAGAATCTTTAAATTTTGTTTTAGGCAGAAATATATAGTCTTTCATCCCCTTAGTAATCAAAAATCTATTGGGGATGTGCAGGAATATAGAGTTGAGGTTAAAATCAGATCAGCCACAATTTTATCGAATGGCAGAGAAGGTGAAAGGGCTGAGTGGTTTGTTCTTCTTCCTCGTTTGTACGTATGTTCTTATGAGTGTTGTTGGTGCTTCACGCAGTGGGGAGTATCTCCTGACTTGTGCTTTGTGGACAGGCTTTGGGGAGTCAGGAGGTGAGTTACTTGCTGCAGGATTCCCAGCCTCTGATCTGCTCTTCTGGTGACTGTGTTTACAAGACGAGGCTAGTTGAGTTTCTGTTCAATGATGACACTCAGGATGTTGATAGTGGAGGATTTAGTGATGGGTAACATCATTGATTATCAAAGGGCACTGGTTAGATTCTCACTTTTTGGAGATAGTTAATGCTTGGCATTTGTGTGGCGCAAATGTTACTTGTCACTTGTCAGTACCTTGTCGTGTAATATGGCTGACATTCCCTGTCCTCATTGTGTACCTATTGGGTAAGTTTGTTGCCTTGGGACCTTTGCCTGGTTCCCTGTCCGTTACATCCTCTCTTTCCTGAACCTGTGCTTTCCCCTGAGATGTTTATGATGTTCTGGATAAAACTGTCCAGAAATTCTTCCAATTCCTTTGTGAGTCAGAGTTTCTGTAAGTTACATTCAGGCTCAGTGACTCTGAGCTGGAGAATTTCAAAGTGGAGATGTGTTTACTTTGAATATCTTTACCATCAGCTCCTACATTCTGCAGTCCAAGTACACAGCCCACTCTGACAGCTTAGATTGGTCTTATTTACTTAATTAAAGTCTTTATTCAATGAATATGTGCACTTGCCATCGGGTATTTTAAGTAGGTAAGCTATAAATTTCATTCCGTACTTAGCTGTGCCTAGATTAAATAACCATGCTAGTGTAGAGTTAAAAAAAAGAACCTTAAAAATAATCAACCAATTTCTTACCTGCTTACCTAATTAAAGTTTGTAACTTCAGAACACAAGTCTCCATATTCTCTGTCTTGGAGCAATCCTTGTTCTGTGCTAAAAGGTCAAACAACATCCCCTTCTCTCACCCACTGAATTTCCCTGAATTGAGTAAATGCAGAAAAATTGAATGTGATTCTGAGAGAATCAACAAGGCTACTGTCAGGTTTGTTGAGTCAATTTCGGAAGGTCAGTGTGTTCACTGTTCTGTTCATTCTGAAATCACAGGAGATTGTCTCTGTCTCTGGCCACTGCTGTCTCACTGTCTGTTGCCCTGTATCACTGTCTGTTGCCCTGTATCACTGTCTCACTGCCTGTTGCCCTGTATCACTGTCTCATTATCCCACAGTTATTTGGGTATGATTGAAGAGACCTTGTGTTCAGCCAACTGAGTTCGGAGATCACAGTGTCAGTGCCAGTGTTCACATGATCTGTTGCTTTAAAACTGTATGCATGTTTGTGAGAGTCACTTTGAGTGGGAAGGATGATTTTATTACAAATCTCAATATTGATCATTGTCACTGTATTTCACATTGAGTAGCAGTTACTGTGGAAGGTTTACCAGGTGATGTTTTATAGGGTTGACCATTGCTTTAACTTGGGAAAGTTATTGCAAATGGAATAAGTTAGCAGCTGAAGTTACAGGATATGTTCAGATTTTGTAGATTGCGTTCGTAAGTCATTTATCTGAGTCAGAAGTATTTCTGTGTGTTCAGTGAGTTCATCCCAGAGCCGAATCCAGTTGTTCCCCCGCTTTCTCTGGATTGTGAGGGCAGTGACCCAGACTGGAGAGGAATGAACTGCTGGTCTATCCAGAGGGAGGAGGAGGAGAGGCCAAGGGAGGGCAGTCCCCAGGTTGAGAAAGATTTGGAGATGTCCATCGCTGTACAGAACCACCACTGGCTGTGAGCGATGATGAGGACTACAGTCTGAGCTGGTAATTGCTTCTGTGTGTCTTGTAATTCAGGACCATGGCATTACTCCCCTTAGGGGTGGAGCTATCAAAATATATCAATATATTTAATATAGTATGAAGCCAGTCAGCCCATTGGTCTGTTAACAAAAGCAGAAATTGTTGGAGAAACTCAGTATGTCTGGCAGCGTCCGTGTGTTTGATGGGGAGTGTAGAGAGAGCTTTACTCTATATCTAATGCCATGCTGTCCCTGTCCTGGGAGTGTTTGATGGGGAGAGTGTAGAGGAAGCTTTACTCTGTATCTAACCCCATGCTGTCCCTTTTCTGGGTGTGTTCTTTACTCTGTATCTAACCCCATGCTGTCCCTGTCCTGGCAGTGTTTGATGGGGAGAGTGTAGAGGGAGCTTTACTCTGTATCTAACCCTGCTGTCCCTTTTCTGGGAGTGTTTGATGGGGACAGTGTAGAGGAAACTTCACACTGTATCTAACCCTGTGCTGTCCTTGTCCTGGGATTATTTGATGGGGACAGTGTAGAGGGAGCTTTACTCTGTATCTAACCCGTAACAGGTCTGGCAGTGTCCGTGGGGGGAGAAACTGTTAGCGTTTTGAGTCCAGTGACTCTTCATCAGAATGGATAGATCTGTGAACATTGTCAGCTTGGAACAAACTGCCATCCCTGAATTCTCTCCAAATATCATTACAAATTTACTTTAACAGTTTCTCTGTCCCTGTTGAACACCATGACTGTCTGACTATTCCACTCAGCTTCAGTTCAAACTCCGAATGCATTGCTCCCATATTGCTGAGAAAATGTTGAACACAGTTTCTCCTCTATGTCCGTCAAATCCTTTAGCTGTTCACTCAAGCTTACCCCAGAAATTCAGCAAAGATCCTCAGACAGCACCTTCCAAACCCACAACCATTTCCATCTAGAAGGACAAGGGCAGCAGATATATGGGAACACCACCCCCTGCAAGTTTTCCTCCAAGCCACTCACCATCCTGACTTGGAAATATATCGCCGTTCCTTCACTGTAGCTGGGTCAAAAACTTGGAATTCCCTCCCTAATGGCATTGTGGGTCAACCTACAGCAGGTGGACTGCGGTGGTTCAAGAAGGCAGCTCACCACCACCTTCTCAAGGGCAACTAGGGATGGGCAAGAAATGCTGGGCCCAGCCAGCGACGCCCACATCCCACACAATGAATGAAAAAAGAAGACACATGCTGCTGCTGTGAACACAACTCAGAATCTTCAGCTGCTTCTCTCCAGCTCTCAGTCATGTCAAGAAGTGAGGTCAATCTTGGGAGCAGAGATTAAGAAGAGAATTTCTTGTTACTATCAATGATACAGATAAAGAAAATGAAGAGGAACAGGCAAAGGAAACATACAGATAACAAGCAGGGTTTTTCGATGTAGTGAGTTGTGAATCACACTGGATGACCAGTAGAGTAGGGTCAAAAATAACTTGCAAAGTGAGCAGAACTAATTGGAATGCTTGCTGAAAGAGCCAGATAGGCACAGTGAGCCAAGAGTACTTCCCCAGTGTTGTATCAATCCAGGATTCTGTAACTCTTTCCTGACTTTGACTTACTGTGAATTCTCATTGATCTAACTTTCTGGTTTTCAAGGTTCGAGCTATGAGGCTCTCATTTGTTGGTGAGCTAGGCTGGGAGCTGCATGTACCAAGGGAATCCTGTGTAGCTGTTCATCGTGCTGTGATGCAATCTGGGGAAAAGTTTGGAATCACCAATGCTGGTTACAGAGCCATTGATTCACTGAGTATTGAGAAAGGTAAAAGCTGCCAGAGAGCTCAATACTGCAATGCAATGTGAACCCACACTCTCATCAAAGCCACTATCAGACTGTCAGAAATAGGTGAGAGAGCTCTGTCCAACAAGAACCTGTTCCTGCACAGAATTTGACCTGAACAGAAATTACAGTTCACACTGAATCCTGATTCTGATTCAGTAGTTGTTGTATTTTTCATTTTATAATGTTTCAATTGTTTCTGCTGGTGGGACATACTCTGAGGGAGGAGGATTTTTCACCATAAACACTGGCGACACATGTGGCAAAAACAAACACTGAAACGTTTTTGACGTTAGTGAAGCAGCCAATCATAGATCACCAGGAATTCATCTTAAGATCATTCTCAGACTGAGGGAGCGCCGCACTGTCGGAGGGTCAGTGCTGAGGGAGTATTACACTGTCAGAGGGTCAGTGCTGAGGGAGTATTACACTGTTGGAGGGTCAGTGCTGAGGGAG